CCCAGAGCCTGCTGCTTCCCCAGGGAGCAGACAGGCTCAAGAAAAACCACCTGGAAAGACCCTGGAAAGGGCCAAGTGACCAGAGTGTGAGTGGCCTGCTTGGCACACAGGCATTTGACTAGGTGGCCATGTCTGCTCTTACCAGTATGAAGAGCTGCAGGTGACAGCAGGACGGCATGGCGACGATCTCCGCAATACCAAGCAAGAGATCTCGGAGATGAACCGGATGATTCAAAGGCTGAGATCTGAGATCGACGCTGTCAAGAAGCAGGTACAGTTCAGTCAGTGCAAGAATTCCCATTTCTTCTGCATTATCCCAACTCCAAGGACTCCTTCCACAGATGAAGGTAGCTCTGGGATCTGTCCGCAGACAGACACCTCCTTTCTTTTTAGTGCACTAGTCTGCAAACTGCTATCTCTGACGCCGAGCAACGTGGAGAGCTAGCCCTCAAGGATGCTCGGGCAAAGCTGGTGGACCTTGAAGATGCCCTGCAGAAGGCCAAGCAGGACATGGCCCGGCTGTTGCGCGAGTACCAGGAGCTCATGAATGTCAAGCTGGCACTGGATGTGGAGATCGCCACCTACAGGAAGCTGTTGGAAGGCGAGGAGTGCAGGTCTGTTCTCAGAGCAAACAGAACTTAACCTAGCAGCCTGAGCTGAGCCAGTGAGCGATGACAAAGAATGCAGGTGCTAAATCATCCCGGTGCATCCCATAGGAATCTAAGGTCTAATCAGTCATGTCCTGTTAAAGGAGAAGGAAGTTCCATAGTAGAGCTGAAAATGTGGGGTAAAAGGCTCTGGACTAAGAAGAGACTGTCCTAGATTTGGGCTTATGGTTCCCCACTCATTACGAAAAGTTGGTTTATTTATTTTATGCATGTGAGTATTTTGCCGGCTTGTACACTGGATGCATGCCTGGTACCTGTGGAAGTCTAGCGCTGGAGTTACAAATGATTGTGAGCCACCATGTGGGTGGTGGGAACCTGGGTCCTCTGTAGGAACAGCAAGTGCTCTTAGCCACGGGCTATCTCACTACACCCATAAAAAAGTTTTACTTTGATTTAAAAAATAAAAAAATCTTACTCTCCTTCAATTTAGTGGTCAAATGAATGGACTTTGAAGGCAGATGTATCCTGTTTCAAACCTTGTGACCATGAGCAAGTTAATTATTCTCTCTGAACTCCAATTTCCTACTATACTACTGACATAATATCTACCTAATAGGGTTGTTGAGAGAACTAAATGGCATGATGAGTGTAGCAGGTTTTCAATAAATGTTAATGTTAGCTCTGAGTGAGCCTTTAGGAATGAATGCCAGTTGCTAAGACAATAATAGACCGATTGTGACTACTGTTATTTTTGCGATTTGGACGCTTCTCCACACCTGTAATAGCCTCAGTGCATGACAAAAATCTCTTATTGAGAGGAAAATCTGGTTATAGGGACCATCCTGGCTTTTTGATGAACTCTAATCTGATTGGTTTTCACTTCCTGGGGGGAGGTGAGCATGGTTTAAACCCAAATTGTACCTCTGAGGTTACAGGTACCCCGCCTCCAAACCTCAGGTTTCACAAGACTGCATTCATTAGACCCTTACTATTTTTAGTACTTCATGTAATTTTAGAGTTTCAACCAGCATGACTTTTACAATAAAAATAATAAAGGGGTTTTCGATGCACTTAAAACAATCACAAAATTTGTCATTGCAAATACCTGCCAGGTGAAAACTGGGACAGTAAGTAACCTTCTTTCCTCTCCTCCCAACCAGGCTGAGCGGAGAGGGAGTTTCCCCAGTGAACATCTGTGAGTATGATCCCTGTGGCTTGGAGCTCACATGGTCAGGAGAAGGGGCAGATACAAGGCACCGTGAGAACTGTGCAGGCAGAGCTCGGTGTGAGACAGTTTGAGGGCTTGAGTTGATGGCAAAGCATAGTGGATTAGAGGAGCTTGTGTGATTTACTTATTTACTGTAGTATTTGGAGTTGAACCTGGAGCCTTGGTGTATTCTGACCAATCTCACATATTCCCACCCTGTCCTAGCCCATTCTGGATACTAACCCCACCTCATACCACCCCCCCATCCCCTGCCCCCAGCATATCATTGCTTTGTTTGTGCTTCCCACTGAGTCTAACCTGAGCCACCTGTGTGAGTGTGGATTCAGCAATAGAGGGATTTTTTCCTCCTGAGACAGAGTTCATGGAACCTAAGCCAGCCTCAAATTCCTGCCCTTCCTGCCTGTTTCTCAAGTTAGATGAGTATTTAGGCTCATGGTTCGTCCCTTTGGATGGAGAGTGCACATGAGGGGTGGATCCTGAAATTGTCTCACAGCAGGTTAAAAAGCCCAGCCATATCTCTCACCTCCCACTATCCCAGGTTCAAGAGTTTAGAGATGAATGTTTAACATAGACAGGACATAGACTTCTATGGAACCCTTTACACTAGAGGCCAAATCATGGCCAGTGAGGCAGCCCTGCCATCTCTGAGCAGTCTGTGGAGAGCCTGCTGCTTGCCTCAGTTCTATAGAGCATTGCCTCAAGAAGGCCCTGGGCTTTACAGGACCTCCTCCATCTGTATTTAGAGTGCCATGCCAGGAGGACACCAGTGGGAAGGATACATGTGTATTCCCACGAGCTTCCAGAAGGAAGGAGTTGCCAGAGGCAAACCCAAAGAGAGTGATGGGACCAGACAGCAACAGTGGTAGTACAGTAGAAGTGAGAGGAAAGTGCCTTCCGGAAGTGTCCAGTAAGTTCTGGAAGAGAAGCACTTGGGTAGTAGAGGAGAAACAGAAAGCCTGGAGAAAGAAGACAGCACGGACCAGCAGAGGTGGAGGTCCAAGGCAGCATTTCACACAGCAGCATCTGTCTGTGAGACCACCCATCTTGACCATGGAGGCTCGAGGGCACAAGCTCTGATGTCCGGTGCCTTCTCTCCTGCCTGCAATTCTGATTCTGTCCCCTTTCCCACAGCGGTGGTCACTTCAACCGTTTCCAGTGGCTACGGTGGTGGCAGCAACATTGGAGGAGGAAGCCTGGGTCTTGGTGGGAGCAGTGGCTACTCCTTCACCACCAGCGGTGGGCACAGCCTGGGTTCAGGTCTGGGAGGCTCTGGCTTCACCAGCAGCAGCAGCCGGGGCCAAATGGGCAGTGGCTCCAGCGTCAAGTTTGTTTCCACCACATCTTCCAGCAGGAAGAGTTACAAGCACTAAAGTGGTCAGCCTGCAGCCTCCCTCGCCACCTTGCACTTGCAACTGGATGCCTGGACCCTTCTCCCATATCCTCTTCACAGGGGGTTCCCTGTGCTTTCAGGGATCCTGGCATCCTGACTAAACCCATTCCCTGGCTTTAAACCCATTCCCTGGCTTATGACAAACTCCCAACAGTCCCCAGCCTGCGCCTGGCATTTCTTTGTGCCAGACACACAAACCCAAACCCCACTCTCTTCCCAAGTTCACAGTCGATGGATCTGCAAACAACCCTCCAGCGCCACTTGCCCCTTTCCTCCAGCTGCAGTGATGGAGAAGTCTGTGTTGGCCACCTCAACACCAGGCTATCTTGTCCCTCTCTGGCTGCTTATAAACTTCAAGCTAGAGTCACTGCTCCTCTGTCTCCTCCTGGATGTGCCTATTAAATGTATGTGTCATGTGTTTGGCTCAGCCCTCTGTGTGCAGTGGTGGTAAGCCCACAGCAATTCTGACTCTCAGGCAGCCCCCAGCCAGGATTCCGCACAAGCAAAGTACTCAGGGCACAATAGCTCTTGCCCCTTCCTGAGGAGCTAAGAGGAGGGCATGGAGAGGGCAGCAGACCAATAGCCTTCCTCCTTAAGGGGCTCCTACTTCCTCTCACTTTTCTTTGGGATGCTTGTTTATGAAGTCCCAACCCCTGGACAGAAGCCCTGCCCAGCCTCCTGCTTAGTATGTCATGCAGGGCGAGGCCATCCCCTCCCCCACATCAGCCTGTGTTCCTGGGACAGCACTGACGTAGGATGGGTGGTCAAGGCACTGGCCAGCAAAGGAGCTGATTGTTCCCACGGCAGCTTCAAACTTGCAGCCCTAAGCAGAGAAATGACAGGGCAGGAGAGGAGTTAAAAGTCAGCCCCGAGGCCAAGCCAAGGAGCCAAGGAGCCCATAATTGCAGGTAGTGCGGAGACACCCAGGAAGCTGCTGCACATTCCTGAGTTTAAAGTCTCCTGGACCCCCTCCCCTCAGGACCTCAGGGGGATGATGGCATTAATCCTGAGTGGGGCTTAGGTGTGTTTGGAAAGGGTGGGCTCAACCCCTAGGGATTCATTGCAGAACTGATAGAAGTCGTTAACCAGAGCTGTGGAAACCATTCATACTAGGAAAGGAGTTTAGTACATATGAGTCAGGAAAGAGGGATGTGAAATAAGAGACCACCATTTACAACGGTTAAGAGGGTAGAGATTTCAGACTGAGAGCAATTGTTAAATTCACTAAGACCCGGGAAGACAACAGCAGAGGGCAGGGATCTGGGGTGACCTCTGACTGCTTCTTAGGAAGGACAAGACATCCCATTTTCCCCAGCTAGGAGAAGTTCAGGGATTCTGAGCATGTAGCCCAGCCAGCCACTAGTATCGTCCCAGCATTCCCTAACTGCAGGCAGAAACCAAAGGCAAGAAAAGCCAATGTCGAATGGTGAACAGTTGGAGTTCAACTCCCGTGATACTGATCAGAAAACATCCGCAGCAACAATTTATCATCCATTTTCACAAAGTTATAAAAATAAAATGTAATAATGCCTGTAGTAGACCTGTCACATAGTGTGGCACAAATTCGACCCTTGGTAAATGGATTTTTAATGGGGGGGGGGTGTGGGAGGAAGGGAGTATGGGTACAGTTAGATGTTTGGGTTCAGAGTCTGGGAGCTAGGCGTGCAGGAGAGGCTGCAGACAGAAGCAAGTGGCGGTGGGGGCGGGGGTTGGGGTGTCCAGAGTATGTGTCTGAGAACCTGGGCTAGTAGGGAGCTTTGAGCCCAGGTTGGCCTCAGGCTGCACTCCCCAGGCCTGGTCCTGCCCAGGGTAGGGTGTTCCCCATGGTGATTAGCGGGCAGGAAGATGGACCGTGGCCAGACATGCCATTGAGGTGAACACAAGAGTGGTCTTTGATCTACTTTGGCCAAGCCCAGTTCTTGAAAGGGATAAAACTCCAGGTGAGTGCAGGCAAGCCAGAATCTCAAGGCTATCCTCTCTTGCCATTGCTGTGCTGCCCTTTGACGCCAGCTTCCACCATGACCCAGCGATCTTCTGTGACCATCAAGTCTGGGGGCACACGGAACTTCAGTGCCTCCTCAGCCAGCCTCCTCCCTGGCTGCCGGCCTGGTTTTAGCTCTGTCTCCATGTCCCAGAGCGGGAAGAGTTTTGGAAGCGGCTTTGGGGGTGGTTTTGGGACAAGAAGCCTACACAGCTTTGGGGGTAACAAGAGAATCTCCATCGGTGGGGGCTACCGCTCCAGCCGGGCCAGCTTTGGAGGTGCTGCCTGTGGGCTAGGTGTCAGCGGCATAGGGTACAGAGTTGGGGGAGCCTACGGTGGGTATGGATTTGGAGGTGGGATGGCCCCTGGAGCTGGAGGCATCCATGAAGTCACTGTCAACCAGAGTCTCCTCACCCCTCTGCATCTGGAGATTGATCCATCTCTCCAGCGGGTTCGAAAGGAGGAGAAGGAGCAGATCAAGAGCCTCAACAACAAGTTTGCCTCCTTCATAGACAAGGTGAGGGGCAAGCGGCGTCTCCACTACTAAAACCGCTGTTGTCTGGAATCTTCACTATCTGGGTTTTCCTGAGGTCCCCTGGGGCTTCCCAGGACCCATGCACCTGGGGCCTAGGCAGTCTGCTGATAGAGGACAGGGCAGGAACAGAAAAGTGCTTATCTCCATCCAGCCTTAGAGTTCTCAGACCCACAATGAGGATATTGCTACTCTGGTGGTCAGTGATCATGGGTCAGCTAGAGAGTTTGGAGGGAAGGCAATAAAGGAACAAAGGCTAAAAGTGCACGGATGTTTTGGGTCCCTTTCTTTCTCCCAGCTAATTAACACTAGTGTCCTCCCAAGGTAGAGGTACGTCTCTGTTGACACACCTTGGTGGTAGCGTATGTCTAGGAAGCTGAATGGACAGTGAAAGGGCACTGAGATGACGTGTGTGACTTCAGCCTGAGTCCTAACAGCTGTGTGACTTGGGATCCTAGAGGTCCCCAGTTCTGGGAGAGAGCCTTTTGGACATGATGCCATTGTGCACCATCTCACGCCTCAGCTGGGAAAGTGTGGACCACTCAGGCTACATCTGTGGGATGAAGAAGAGTGTAGAGTCCAGAGATATCCAGCGCAGGCCCCAGTTTGGACTCCACTGAGGGGGGAGTTTCTATTCCAGCCCTGGTGGGATGGAACAGATGGACTCTCGGGTCCCTTTCTGGCTTTGTTACATTATGAATGCCTTCTCGTGGGGAGCAGATCACTGGGTGGAGGGACCCAACCAAAGGCACTGCTCAGATACCAGTTCTTAATCTTTGTCACCTGTGTCACTCCACCTGGCCTGGGTTATTCCAGCAGGGGTGTGACTTCTAGAAGCCTGACTGAAAAGGGGAGATCCTGGGCTTTTGCTTTTTCCTGGTTTGTCTAGAGGGGATGTGGAAATAGTTGCTGGAACTGGGAAGGTGCTGGGGGCTAGGGTGTGTTCTCTCCCACAGTGGAAGACAAAGGAAAGACACACTTGTTAGAGACTTCTGTGGGGACACTGCTGTCTCTGAAGTTGTAGAGGTATTGTTCTTTCATTCTTGGAGACTAAGTGACATTCAAGCCCCTCCCATTAGAAGGACTTCAGGATGAGGGCAAGTTCTGCACAATTCCCAGAATCAGGACCTGATGGAGCTAAGTCCAGAGACCCAAATAGCAACTCAAGACCACAAGGGACTCAACTAGCAACTCAAGGGAGATGAATGCTCACATGCCTAGTGAGAGACCTGTGCCCAGGTCCCCTTAGTGTAGTTCCAGAGTGACCTGCACTAACACTTCTAAAGCACACAGGCAGCTTAATCCAAGTTCCAAATCCTGAGAAATCCTCTCAGAAAGGAAAAGGATGGTTAGAATTTTCTGTCACAATCTCCCACCCATGTAATAGGAATCAGTATGGGCTCCATCAGCTATAGTTTTCTATTCCTCAGTTAACACGTGTCAATATGGTTGGTATAGTAGATGGCCTCCAGTCCCTCTGGACTTAGTACTTGTCTCCCAAACCCATTGTTCCAACACTGACATGGTGCTCTTCATCCAGGCTCCTTGCAGCTCAGGGGCTGAAGGGGAAGCCACCACCTGAATTTTGAGGTCATGCAGGGTCCCTACACTCTTGGGAGGGCCTACATTGAAGAACATATGGAAGGCTGAAGCAAGGAAGCCCTCAAAATCTCTTACATTTGGCTGGGACAGGTGCGGTTCCTAGAGCAGCAGAACAAAGTCCTAGAGACCAAATGGAGCCTCCTGCAAGAGCACAAAACAACCAGGACCAATCTAGAGCCCATGTTTGAAGCCTACATCACCAACCTGAGGCGCCAGCTGGAGTGTCTGGGAGGAGAGCGGGGCAGGCTGGAGACAGAGCTGAAGAGTATGCAGGATGTGGTGGAGGACTTCAAGAACAAGTGAGTGGGCACTCTGTCTGGCCCAAAACCTGGCCCTGGGGCTTCTGGGAGGTCAGGCAAAAGGAGGAGGGTGTGATGTTCTCCAAAACTGCCCCATTCCCATTTGACAGGAATAGGACATACACTTGGGACATGAGATGAAATCAAATAGACACAAAAATTAAAAAAAAAAAAAAAGCAGAACAAAAGTCTTTGGTCCAGAATGTTGGGGTTTAAGGAAGGAAGGGGCTGGAGTTAATAAGGTAATGCCCATCTGTAACAACCTTTAACTGCAGACAGCAAATACAGGCTCACTTACCCAAGATTACACAAAGGACAAGTTAGGAGTTAAAGGTAGAGACTCTTCTCCTCCCATTTATTCAACTAAGTGCTCATTTGTAGGAGGCTGTAGGAATAGAGAAGAAAAAAGATTCTCCCAGGACCCCATGTTGTTTCCCAGCCACAATTAATAAATCCACGAATCCCAGCTGGCTTTCTGCAGGGAGTGTGGGATATCGGGCGGCTGCAGAGGCATCCTGGGTGGGGAGTGGGCCACTGCAATGGAGGGAAGCTCCCTTCTCCAAGTGGGCAGGGAGTGCTTAGCATGCTGTGGGCACCAGAGGGAGTACAGCCAAATTGAAGAATGAGACAGCTGGGGCTGGGGAGGGGGTCTCATAGCCTGAAGATTCCACCTCTCAAGATAGGGTCCAGTGTAACTGAGACACTGAGGAACATGACCGCAGCACAGGTTGGCAGAAGCCAGACTAGAGGCCAGGGGCTGCCAGTCAAGAAGGACAAGAAGAAAGAGGAGGGGGGGCTGGGGGAGGGGCACACTTCTTTAGAGGTCCAGGCTGTGAGGAAGTACATCACAGGAAGAGGGCTGATTCCATTCTGCCATTTTCAGTTTGAGTTTTCTTTTGTTGGAAGTAGGAGTACTTGATTTGGGATTTAGAGTCACGTATGTGTGAGGGAGCCACACTACAACAGGTTTTCCAAGTGTGCCCACCTGCCATAACCTTGAGCGGAAGGATTTGCAGGGTGTGCTGGAGGACTTCAAGAACTGGGCCAGACAGAGCGATCCCAACCTCGCTCTCAAGCCCTCCTCCCAACACCCACCCGTCTCCCCCTTTCCACAGGTACGAAGAGGAAATCCATAGGCGCACGGCGGCAGAGAATGAGTTTGTAGTACTCAAAAAGGTAAGCAGCGAAGGCACTTTGAATGACTGCAGGTTCCCGGGGGAGGCAGAACTTTCACTGAAGCCCTCAGTCTTCTTGGAGACATATTTGACTTTAAACATGAGAACACTGGGGTACAGGGATATTCGGTTTGTTGTACAATTAGAAGCAGGTCAAGATCCAGGACTCCCAACTCCAAGCTGTGTGAACGCCAGCCCCACTCCTTGCTCCATGCAATGCAGGATGAAGGGAAACCAAATGGGCCTGGCCCTCAGCTCAGAATACAGAATACAGAGCCAGTCTTTGGGCAAGGCTGTAGAGGATCAGGCGGCAGAAATCTAGAGGTCTGGCTGTCTGGCTTTGAGACTAGCAGAGGGAAGAAAAGAAAACACCAAGGATTAAATTGAAGGAAAAATGGACTAGCAACATGGAGAAGAAAGGAGGGGAAGCAGAATGGGCAGAGGTGTGAGGATGGGAGCCTGTATAGTCTTTGGGAAGAGGCTTGAAGAGCTCATAGGCAATGGGAACCACGTGACCCAGGATGGGGTATCCTCACCATGGAAGGTGACATGAGACCCTTGCTTACGGCATTAGCTGATGAGCAGCAGACAGGCACTCCTGAAGGTCATACTATGTGGACCTCCCCATCTCTACAGTTCCACTGGACAGCATGTAGCAACAGCATGTGCTCCCTGGGAAGCTGAAGCTGTCTCATTAGCTCCAGAGACAATCTCCAGAGGCTACTAGTTCACCCTACCAGGAAGGTAGGACCCTGAATGATCTCATGTTCTGTACCCAGGATGTAGATGCTGCCTACATGAACAAAGTGGAATTAGAAGCCAAGGTGGATGCCCTGATGGATGAGATCAACTTCCTGAGAGCTTTCTATGAGGCGGTGAGAGACCCTGGTTCTGTCTGGAGGGCTGGATGCTGGGACACCCCCACACACCACACCACACCCCTGGCACACAGCCGCCATCTCTTTATCGGCTTCCTTCTCCACTCCTCCTCCTACTTGTGGATTGTGATTCATGGGAAAGGTCTTGCTCTTTGAAAGGGAAAATGAGGTTCCTGGGGTTAGCAAGAAGTTTCCAAAGTTGAAAAACTCTACCTTGGCTAATTAGAATAAGCATGTTCTGTTGAGCAGACAGATTATCTGTTTGCCACCATATTCAGGGGATTCCTGAAGAACTGTCCAAGCCCCAGCCCAGCCCCACTATTCTTCCTGGAGCATCTCAAACGGATGCAGTTAAACAAGTCAGCAGCAGCCACCCAACCTGCAGGTGCTTTCTATCCAGGTGTGACCAATTGCCTGGCCCTCCTGAAGATATTTTTTGGGCAGCACCAAGGTACTACTGTTCTGTGGGTTGCAAGGACAACACCACAGACATAACTGAGAGCCTCAGATCTTGGATTTTTCTCTGGGGCCCCTTCTGCTGTTTCTAGCTGATCTTCATGCCCCATCCCTAAGGAGCATAGCACAGGACATTCGGGAACAGGATGGGACTCAGCAGTACCTAGTCCCTTCTGATTCAGACTTCTTGCCCAAGGTGAGGTCTCTGTTGTGTGTGAAGGACCGGGCCTCTTCAGAGAGTGAAACATCACACTCTGACAATCAGCAAGCTCCCTTGCAATGGGAGTGGCTTCCAGAGAATTCTAGCTGGAGTTACCTGATGCGCTCAGGTACCAGTTCGCTGGTGCTGAAGAACAGTTGTAATCTCAATGGCCTCCCAAATGTCCTTCCCAGCCATTCAGGACTGAGAAAGGGGCTGCACTTCACAGTGCAAAACCCTCCATTTCAGAACCCATCCCAGAGGGTTGCCATCCCCAAAGTACCTGTGTTCACTCACATACACACCTGCACACATGTGCACACACATATGTGCACATGTGAACACACTGTTTCATCTCTCCTCCCTCTTTGGACTCTATCACAGGAGCTGGCTCAGCTTCAGGCTCAGATCTCTGAGACCTCTGTAGTCCTCTCCATGGACAACAACCGAAGCCTGGACCTAAACAGCATCATTGCCGAGGTCAAGGCCCAATACGAGGACATTGCCAACCGCAGTCGGGCAGAGGCTGAATCCTGGTACCAGACCAAGGTGAGGTGTCAAGATCTAATCAATTAAACATGCACAGGGGTTGAAAGCTTCATGAGCAAATAAGATAGGAGCCTATCCTCTCCAGTGTCACAGGCTAGTGTGGTCCAAAGTGTCTGACTTCCACTTAGAGCTTCCTGTATTCTGAACATTACCCAGGGCCAATACCATCAGGAACAGGAGGAATAGTCAGACACAGGCAGAAATTTGAAGACTTTATATCATAGGAATGGATGTAAGTAGTCAGTTGCAGCTGCCATGCCAATGGGGAGTGGTGTCGAGAGGAAGGTCTAGTGCCTTCTAGATGAGGCCAGAGGCTGGTTGGGGCCAAGGTCCTGGGGACAAAGACTTGTTACAGATCACAGGATGACATTTCCCATGTTGGAGCAGACACTCTGAGCTGGGAGTCAGGAAAACAGTACACTCTGGTATCATGACAAATACATGTGAAGTAGGATCTCCACTGGAAAGTATTCCTGTGTGTGTGTGTGTGTGTGTGAGAGAGAGAGAGAGAGAGAGAGAGAGAGAGAGAGAGAGAGAGAGAGAGAGATGCTGATCTGGAAAGGTCAGATGCATGGAGTGGATGGAGAGGGAAGAGAGGCCAGGAGAAAAACTGGGGTGGGGTGGGGGAGTGGAGCAGCATGGCCACAGTTGTCTGGCTGTTGCTGAAGTGTGTGGAGGATATGGAGAGCAAGTACAGAGCAGGAGATGATGCCAGTGGACACAATGGGCAATGTGACAAAATCCAGAACCCAGAGCAGTGCACTGAATGCCTGGAGGGTGCTCTGGGAAGCTACAATCCTCCTTCCTTGGGCCTTACTATCCCTCCCCTGAAGCCTCTTCTTCCTCCCAGTATGAGGAGCTGCAGCGGTCTGCTGGCCAGCATGGTGATGACCTCCGTACCACTAAGATGGAGATCTCTGAGCTGAACAGGGCCATGCAGAGACTGCGTTCTGAGATTGATAACCTAAAGAAGCAGGTAGGACTGACATCTCAAAGACCATCCCATCCAAACCCCTGCATCCAGGAAGAGTTGGATCTGGGCTGTCCTAGTTAGGGTTTCTATTTCTATGATGAAACACCATGACCAAAACACCTTAGGAAGAGAAGGGTTTATTTGGTTTACCTTTCCACATCACAGCTCATCATGAAAGGAAGTCAAGATAGGAACTCAAACAGGGAAGGAACCTGGAAGCAGGAGCTGATGCAGAGGCCATGGAGGGGAGCTGCTTACTGGTTTGCTCCTCATGGCTTGCTCAGCTTGCTTTCTTATGGAACCCGGGACCACCACCCACAGTGGCAATCCCCCATCAATCACCAGTTAAGAAAATGCCCTACAATCTTATGGAAGCATTTTTTCAATTAGGATTACCTCCTTACAGATAACTCTAGCTTGTATTAATTTGACATAAAGCTCTCCATCACTTGGGCTTTACTCAGTTGGCATAGACAGAAATCTCTCAGATAAAAAATGGAGATGCACTCTCTTGGGACAGGCCCTTTCCTCTGGAGCCACAACATGATCAAGCTTGTCTTGTTTTATGCACATACCCACTACCCAGAGAAAGATCTCAGAAAGCTATTTTCTCACCCAGAAAACTCTACATTACCCATAGGGATTGAGAGCAATCTTATCCTCAAACTCTGTGCCCTGACTTCCATGGCACTGACATACTTCCTGGAAGTTAACCTAATCCATGTGTGCTCCGTGGAGTGCTACAAACTCCTTTCTCCTGTGGGCAGTGCGCCACACTCCAGGCTTCCATCGCTGATGCTGAGCAGCGTGGGGAGCTGGCTCTCAAAGATGCCAAGCACAAGCTGGCAGAGCTAGAGGAGGCCCTGCAGAAGGCCAAGCAGGACATGGCTCGGCAGCTTCGCGAGTACCAGGAGCTCATGAATGTCAAGCTGGCCCTGGACATTGAGATTGCCACTTACCGCAAGCTGCTGGAGGGTGAGGAGTGCAGGTGAGCTCCCACCATGGCCCAGACAGATGTTACCAGAACGGGATAGTATGCTACAAAGGCCATGTGAGCCACTTGCTACCACGCCCCTACATAGAAAAGCCAAGGTCAGATGTAGATGGCACTTCTGTTCCTTCAGAGATTCCTTCCTACAACTTCTTCTGGGCCTGGGCCAGGGTCAAAGCTGTGAGGCCAGGGTGACCACAAACTCCTAGAAGGCCCTAAGAAAGGACATTGTGACTTGAACTTTATAACGCACACAAGTAACCATGGCATCAACCTCAGGGACAGTAGTACATGGCCCCAGATGTTCTGCACTTGAGGCACTCCACTCTGCCTCATCTGCCTCCATCGGCACAGGGTCTCATTTCCTGTTTCTATCCCTATCCCCCCCTAGCATTCCCCTCCTATTTTCCTTAGCTTCTAGAGCTTGTGAGGTGGCTGCCAAGCTTGTTAAACGCAGGGCAGCTTCGCAGTGTGTGCTCAGCTCCGCTCCGATGGCTTCACACGCAGGGGACTGGGAGCTCTCTATGTCCTAGACAATGACACCCCTCCTCTTTCCACCTGCCACAGGCTCACCGGAGAAGGTGTTGGCGCCGTGAACATCTGTGAGTAAATGTTTTGGGGAGATAGAAGAGTGGTGGGAAAGGAGAGGCAACATGGGAGCCCCTAACACCACTGAGATCTGAAAATGAGCAACTGAAGCAAATATCTCATCAAGCTTCCTCTCCTCCTCTTTTGGTTTCTTTCCCCATTGGTGTCAAGAGTGCTGAGCACCCCTGTCCCTGGCAAAGAAGTCCAAGGACTTCTTCTCATTCTGGGAAAGTGTCCTCCGATGCTGCAGGGGACACATGTCCAGCCTAGCTCTAGAGGATCCTGCTTAGGACAGGACTATTCATGCAGCCAGCCCTCAGCTACTCCGGCAGAAATATGAAACAGCTTAACGACCTATATGTAGAACTGAAGCAAATCGACTGAATAAGTAAAACACATCTCAACTTCGCCTGGACATCCAGGAGAACACCAGAAGGGTGACCTCTTGGTATCTTAGGCAGTGATGTGGCATCACTGAGTTCTGGCCATGGAGATGAGAGCCCCTGAGCCTCAGCTAGGTCAGAGAACATCAGGGAAGCCGAAGCCTGTGGTCTTTAAAGAAAAGTTCAGAAGAAGCCTCACAGGAAGAGCAGACTCCCAGAAGGAAGGCTGGCCACAGCATCAATTATCTGACAGCCCCCCCTTGTGGGACTGAGTTTATTGTTGCCTAAGTATAGGGGCAGTAACAGAGATTCCAATATTTGACAGGGAGACTTGTCCAGGTGGCCTTTGGATCTGTCCTGATATGGAAGTCCAAAATCCCCTTCCCAAATTTGAGGCCTTGTATCCTATCTAGTGTGAGAGCCCCAACAGAGAACGGGACAATGCAGCCTAGGAGTCTAAGGACTGGTCTCCGGCAGGAGTGACCTTGCCAGCTGTTTGGTGCTTTCCATCTCCATTTTTTCCTCTCTGTTCCAGAGGTCACTGCCATGGTGACATCTCTTTGAGGGACCAGTACTATCACAACTGTGGGAGTTTTGAAAGTCAAGGTCCCCTGTGGGGGTCACCCTGCCTCCTGCTGCCTCCAGAGATAGCTATCTGTCACATGAGCTTCCTTGGGGAAGAGAGGCAGCCTGGAGATGAGCGTGGGAGGGGCTGACAACTGACCATGTATCCTGTGCCTTCTTTTTTTCAGCGGTGGTCTCTTCCTCCGGAGGCACAGGCTATAGCGGAGGTGGTGGCCTCTGCATGAGTGGCAGCAGTTACAGTGGAGGTGGCTACGGTGGGAGTGGCCTCTGCTATGGTGGCGGAGGGAGCAGCGGTTTTAGCTCCACCAGTGGTCGCAGTGTGAGTGGTAGCAGCTCAAGCATGAGAATTGTCTCCAAGACATCATCCAGCAAGAAGAGTTACAGGAACTAAAATGCTACTTGTCTTGGCACCGTCCCCAGGCCCCCAACTCCCCAGCACTAAGGCCTGATGCTTAGCCCATGCTCACAATCCCCAGCAAGAAACACTGACACCAAGTGACCTCTGGGTTTTAGATTACCTTGTCCATCCTCAGCCTCCAGGCAGGATGCTGGAGCCTCCAGCTGAGATATGCTACCCGAAGCCCATCTCAAAGTCCTCCCTTACCCACACGGACTCAACCTTGCCCTAAGCAGTAGGGGTTGGAGGAAGTCCTCCTCCATCTGCTTGGGCTCTACAATCCATGGGAACTTGATCTTGGTGGCCCAAAGTCACCTTTCTTTGTGCACTTCCCAGCCTCCAAGGTGACTCTGAGCTGTGAGGACCATCCACCCCTTGTCCTGGCTTTCTAGGCACTCAGGTCAGAGCCAGACAGGAAGCTGGAGGAGAAAGGCAGATCTTTGTTGCTTTCTCTTGCTCTGGGGCACAGAGACACAGATAGCAGAGGGGAAGTGTGGGGGAGCTGTGTGGAGGGTTTTGGAAGCTGGTCTTCACAGTGGTTTCATCTGAAGAACTGTGAGCCTTCAAGTATCCGCTATGAGTTCAAGACCAAAATATTTCCCAAAGGCAACTGGGCTGACCGATGCTGTGCTGTGTGTAAGGGAAGTTAACAGCTTCGGAGTAGCAGCCAAACCACCCAAGCTACCCATTCCTCTTCTGCACACCTATTTCCTAGAACTGCTTCAATAAAATGTCACTGAACACCCTAGGCCTTCACTGAGTGTGTTGTGTCGTACACCAAGCAGCAACCTTAAGAGTTGTGAACTCTGGGAATAGGTGATTCCATACACTACAACTGCAATGATTGACCCTGTCCTCTGCTCCTGAGCCATGGGGTTCCAGGAGCTGAGCATGGCTACTGAGACCATCATCTGTCCTGGACAAAGTGGGAGGGCTGTGGCTTTGTGTCATCTATATAGCTCCAGCCAAGTCCTGTCCTCATGGCTCAGCCCACTACCCATCCCCAGAGCAATCTGCCCTCTCAGTATCAGCATTCCTCGCGCCATTTCCTGGGCCTTTGGCAGAATAAAAATATTATTTCCTACTCTATGTCTGAACAACACCTCTAATTACACCCATCACACTTAGGCCCAAAGCTAAGAGAACAACATGAAACGGCCCAATTAGATAAGAATTCCCAAGGCCCAAGACAGCTTTACATTCCAGTCTGCTGACCTACAGGTTGCAAGACAAGAAACACAAAGTATGCTGGGTCAGGGCTCTGAAACCAGGCTTCTTCCTTTAGAGTAACTGAACTTGGGGAGGACACAGAGAATGGACTCTAACCCCAGCCTGGTCACCCCCAACCCCCACTACTGCATTCCTTATTTTATGAGATCTTCGATGTAAAAGGGTCTGGCTGGTAGTAAAGCCCCAAGCAATCAACATTGCCTTATTGTGAGCTTGTGACCTGAACACAATCCATTTGGCACATGGGGGCTGCTCTGTGGAAGTGAATAGAAAGGACTGAAGAGGTTGGGAGGGCTTTGAGCATCTCCAGAGACCTGTAGCCTCATGCTGGAAAAAGGCTTGGATCCATCTGGGACATTCTCAAGGACAACCCTGTCCACACAGGCATCCCCAGGCCAGGGCAGGCTGCATCACCGTCGGGAGGGAAGGTCGTCAGTGTAGACACCACACTGCCATGCGCGGGCACAGAGTCTTTTCCTCCCCTGTCTTTGTGCTCAGGTTTCTCCTCCTGAGTCCCCTGTGGCCTGTGCGGATGAATGTGTGGGGCTAATATCTGTGTCTGAAGGACCCTGTAACAGCTGTGCAGGAGCAAGGGGGCTACCAGTCCTGAGCAGGGGCAAGATGTGGCCAGCCACAGGGAGCTTTTTTTCCTCCATGGGTGCATGTAGGGGTGTCTGGGGACCCACAGAGTAGTGAAGGATCTGGATAAAACACTGTGGCGGATGTCTTCAGAGCATCGGGCCTGCTCCATCTCAGGGAAGTCCCCTTCTATGAACAACCTCAAGTCACACTCTTCTTTACCTGGAGGCTGAGCCACTGAATACGACATCCATAAGTGCCTGGTTGGCCCCTTTCATCATCTCCATAAACAAGGAAGAAGGACAAAAAAGGTTTTTATGGGAACCCCCCCCCCAGCATTGACCACTGGATCCTTCTTGCTCTTTGCTACCCTAATTATGCACCGTGATCCTAGCAGCTGCCAATACCCCAAGCTCATAAACCTGATTTAGTAGTGATTAGGGGTTTGAACCAATCCAGTCCTCCGGCCCCCACTGGATAAAAGGGGAAAAGCTGAGCCACAGTTTGGTCAGTCCTGCCACTGTCATCCTCTCCAGGGATCTACCTCTGCCACTCAAGCCATGTCATGCCGAAATTTCCAGCTGACCCCCAGATGTGGCAGCAGGAGTTTCAGCTCATGCTCAGCCATCATGCCCCGGATGGTCACCCACTATGAAGTGAGCAAGGGGCCCTGCCGGCCCGGGGGTGCCGGGGGCCTCCGAGCCCTGGGCTGCCTTGGCTCTCGGAGCCTGTGCAATGTGGGCTTCGGGAGGCCCCGTGTAGCCTCCAGATGCGGCATGCCGGGCTTTGGGTACCGAGCTGGAGCTGCCTGTGGACCTCCCACCTGCATCACCCCTGTCACCATCAACGAGAGCCTGCTGGTCCCCTTGGAGCTGGAGATCGACCCAACAGTACAGAGGGTGAAGAGGGACGAGAAGGAGCAGATCAAGTGCCTCAATAACCGATTTGCATCCTTCATCAACAAGGTAGGGGCAGCAAGGGTGGGATGGGATCAGAGCTGAGGCGCGTGTCCTGGATCTGCCGTTTATCCCTGTGTCTTTGAGAATGCCATGACCGCTTGTCATTAGAAATTCTTGCTTCCCAGTCCAGACTAGCTTCGAACTTGCAGCACTCCTCCTACCTCTGTCTCCCGAGTACTTGGGATTACAGGCATACATAACCACCTCCAATCCAAGCTCCCCCGCACACTCCCACCCTAGTCACTTAAGAAAATGATCTTTCTCAGATAACATCTGAGAAACTATCAAGGTTGGCAGAGAGTGGGCTGTCAGAGGGGCTTCCAAAATGGTATGAAAGGGATGACGAAAGACTCAGTAGGAGTGGCCTTCCCCATGAGGAATAAAACTGCCTCCTGTGTGCCTAGGCTGAGCTAGGACCAAGCCTGAAGGCAGAGATAAACACCGTGAACCTCAAGTTTCCCATCTATTCAGGACTGGGGCAAGGCAAAAGTAGAGCAGAGCTCAGGGCACAAGACAGCTGTGACCCTCGGCAGCCCCAAAACCAAAGCTTTGAAAAGCTGCAAGGCAGAGTGACATGGTAAGAAGAACTGGGCTGCCCTGTCATCCCCCATGCCACCTACATTTGTCCCCACACCCTGAGTGAGGATCCATGCCAAGAGCCAGTCTGCTGTTTCTAGAGACCACAAGGATTAGGGCAAGCATGCCTGAGTGCAGTCAGAAGCCCTAGGTCCTGGCAGGGCCACTCCTCTTCCCCTGAATTCCTATGCAAGCCATTCACAGCTCAGCCTCAGGGACTTTGCTGCCTGGCTGGGGAATAGACAGTGGGAGACTCAAAGGAAGTGATCTGTACAAAAGTGCATCTGATGCTAGGCATGGCAGTACATGTCTGTAACAGTACTTGGGAGGTAAAGGCGAGAGGATCAGAGTTCAAGGCCAGCCTCAGCTTCATAGTGAATATAAGGCTAGCTTGAAATACACAAGACCTTGGATCAATCCCCACCCTTATCCCCATTAAGAAAACACAGGCCAGTGATGGATCAAAGGGTAAAGTCAATTGCTCCAAGCCTGACAACCTGAGCTAGATCCCCAGAAGCCACAAGTTGGAAGAATTGACTCCCACAAGTTGTCCTCTGACTTCCACATGTATGCTCTCCTGCATTCACACATACACACACACACACACACACACACACACACACACACACGTAAATGAGTGAAAAGAGCTGGTCCACTAACCCTGTTTTACTCTCAAGCCTGTTAAGTTCTGGTTCTAAACATCTCACAGAGGGACGAAGCTTCCTGGCTCCTGCTGGTGTGACCCTTGATCCAGAGTAGAGAGGCAGCCCTTCTGCAGCTATCTTAAGAGGCCTGGTATGGAAAACCCCATAATAGAACTGCAAACCACTCTGTGTGCCTATGATAGGCCTGTGACCAGATCAGTTCCCTGGGCTGCCTCCAATCTTGATTCCAACACACAAAAATGGAAGATGTGGTCCATGGCTGCCTGCATTACCAGGACTCAGGCTTCCTTCAGATGCAGCAGAGACAGACAGAATCATCAGTGCTAGGTCACAACCTTTGACCTGGGCTAAGGGACCTTGGACTCAGGCATCTATGTGTGGGTGTGCTTATGGCAAGGAGAGGCTCAAAGGGGAGGAGGCATGGTCCAGGTCATAGGGCTACCAAACGGCCAGCCAGAGAGCTGAATGTGTCCAGGCTTTTGGGACAGCTCTCCTTCCACACCAACATGAACCACTGGGGTAAGATGAGAGTCCTCTAAGGTCCCTAAGGTAAAGGAGACACAAAGATGCATCCCTCTAGGTGCCAGCCTCTGCAGAGACCTGGCAATTACAAAGCATGGCCTCCTTTTTTTCTGCATGGTGACACCCATTCTTGGGGCAGGTACGCTTCCTGGAGCAGAAGAACAAGCTGCTAGAGACCAAGTGGAACTTCATGCAGCAGCAGAGGAGCTGCCAGAGCAACATGGAGCCCCTCTTTGAGGGCTACATCTGTGCCCTGCGGCGACAGCTGGACTGTGTATCTGGGGACCATGGGAGACTGGAGGCTGAGCTCTGCAGCCTCCAGGATGCACTGGAGGGCTACAAGAAAAAGTAAGTGGCCTCTGCCTTTCCCCTACAAAGGGACTAGAGCAGAAGCAACTCAGACCTCGGTTTCCCCACCCACAAAACAGTTAAGTAGCACAGAGTATCCATATTATTATCAGTGGAATGTGTGTCTGTGCTCCATGTCCCTTCACTCCACTCAGCTTGAATTGGGGTCACCTACCACTTATGGAGCCACAAGTCTCTGCTCCATTCCATTCACCAATCGCTCTGCAGACTGAGAACTAGCCATCGCCAGGGCTCTTTCCTCCAGGATTTTGTGGCTTCTCTTCCCTCCATTGGTTGAGCCTCCTCTCAGGATCCCCCCCCCCCACTCCCATGCAGCCATCACAGTTCATATTTTCTTTCCCCTGATATCTGGCTTCCTTGTCCTCCCCTAGAGGGATTACAGGTTTCTGTTGTCTGTCCCATCCCACTCACTCTCCACAGGACAGGCTCTGAGCCTGCCACTCAATGTGAGGTAGGTGGCTGGGGTTAGTGAATAGACTGGCAGGCAAGGAGACCCCCAGCTTGTAGGAGGACCAGAGAACTTGTCACCTGGAAGGTTATGG